TAAGCAAAATTGAGAGGCAAGAACACAGGTGAACTTACACTAACTAGTACTGAATAGAATCACGCACTTGACTGTATCTGTCTTACCCAGAGTTCCAGAGACAATATCGATCTTGTGCATGACGTTGTCTCTCTCTCCTACACCTGCTCCATGAGCCCCATACAGTCCGACAGCATGGACCTCATCCACAAAAGTCAGAGCTCCATATTTATGTGCTACGTCACATAGCTCTTCTAGAGGGCAAATTGCACCTGAAACAAATTGAGTTATTTTTCAAGTGTAGAAATGCACTATTATCAGTTGACAATGATTAATTTATTCCACAAGCCAAAGTGTCTGATAAAAGAGTGGTTGCCAAGATAAAACAAGTAGGATTAAAATTGAATCCTATTGAGGCAACCCACTCCACTTAAAATACAAAAGCATATATTTGGCTATTGATGTGACCGAGTATTCATTTCATGTGAGTCTCACGTTTTTCCAAATAAAACTATTTATTTAGTACTATTTATTTAGTAGGTGCTTCATTTTACATGTATTCATTTGACACATGGTTTCATTTAAAGTGACTGCATTTAAGTATTATTCATTATCAGTTCATGTATTCCCTAGGAATCAAACCCATGACCATGGTGTTGCTAGTGCCAAGCTCTATTTTACAATACTAAGAAACAAACTCTTTCAGTTACGTGATAGCTTCTTCTACTTACCATCCATTGAATGAACAGTCTCAAAAGCCACGATTTTAGGTGAGAGTGGATCTGAGCAGCTGAGCAGTTCTTCCAGATGACTGGCATCATTGTGTCGGAAAATGAAGCGTTTGGCCCCGCTGTTCCTGATGCCCTGGATCATGGAGGCATGATTACCCATGTCTGAGTAGATCTCACAACCTTTGCAGAGAGAAGATGTTTTAGAGCAATTTCAGAAAACACATTGCCGTTCAGTTTGGGGTCAGTGAGATTTTTTTTTTTTTTTTAAGCAAGGATGCATTAAATTGGTCAAAAGTGACCAACATTTATAAAAAAAATCTCAAATAAACACAAAGTTTTCAAAGAATCCTGAAAACATTTAAGGCGGTTTCAACAAAAATATTAAGCAGCACACCTGTTCATTACTGATAATGATAAATGTTTTTGAGCAGCAAATCAGCATATTAGAATGATTTTTGAAGGATCATGTGGCACCTAAGACTGGAGTAATGGCTGCTAAAAAATTCAGCTTTGCCATCACAGGAATAAATGATATATATATTAAATTAGAAAACAGTTATTTTAAGTAATATTTTAAAATAATTTTTACTGTATTTTTGATCAAATAATTTTTTAAAGAAAAAAATCATACCGACCCCAGACTTTTGAACGGTAGTGTATATAGAAACACTTTTTTTTTCAACTTTTCTTTTTATTTAATAGCAGTATAGTCAATATAAAACATACATTCATTCATTAATTCACACATTCATTAAGCACAGGCAGTTCATTTTGTTTTGTTGGATACCTGGGAGCATTTTAGCCAAAGTAAAGAGGGTGGAATCATTGGCTACAAAGCAGGAAGAAAAGACTAGTGCTCCATCTTTCTGGTGTAGACGGGCCAGTTCACTCTCCAGGGCCACGTGATAGTTACTCGTCCCAGAGATATTTCGGGTGCCACCTGCTCCTGCACCATGCTTCTGCAAAGACTCTCTAAGAAATGTCAAAAGGTTGTGATTACTATGTATATCCAAAAGCAAACAATAAGAAACTTCAAAGTATACAGTTTTATCATATTGTGAAATACACATACAGTATTTAACAATACTTATAAGTTAGTGCATTTTGCTGCACCTTCATTTGTTCTTCTCTATGTATAATAACATGATGGCAAACATTTATTTCATTGTCTGTTTTATGTACTGACCCTATGGCCTTGACAACGCGGGGATGTCGACTCATGCCCAAGTAATCATTACTGCACCATACAGACACCTGGGAGCCCAAGCGTCCAGGGATGGAATAGTCCTCAGCAAAAGGGAAAACCTCTGCAAAACGGTTCACCGTCTTAAAGATACGGTAGGTGTGGTCATTCTTCTTTTCCACAATCTTCTGAGTGAAGAAGTCATCATAGTTGAAACTGGGTCTGGCTGAATTATTTAAAAAGCAGATGGGCAATCACCAGTCAGTAAGTGAGGAAAAAAGACTTAATAAGTGTTGCAGAGTATACTACATTTCCAAAACAAAACAGTCTTGAACAGATTCGATAATTTACTTAACATCCATTATTCCTCATTATGTCATATTACTATTCCATTATTCCATTAGTTCACACAGATATAAAAAAATAATAATTAATTAATTAAAAAAAGTTGTACCTTTTGGCAGTCCAATCAAATAAGTAAAAAAAAAATAGATTGATATTTGGTATTTTCTGAGAGTGTATGGTAGTATTTTACTGTAAATCATTAAGAAAAATGCAGTCAAACTCACTAAAGTTGTCCTGAAGAAGGTGTGTAGGACCAGTAGACTGATGGCTTTGCAAGCCACTGAACAGCGAGCTCATCAAGCCTGGAGAAAAAGGGCATCGATGTGTCAGGAATTCATCAAACAAACAAAATTCTGTATTTATTGCTCTGTTTTCGCACTAAATTCACTTTCAATGTTAAAACAGAGTGAAAATCAAAGTGTTTTGTATTTAATGCCATCGTTGAAGTCTTATATTTTCTTTAAATTACAGGCTACGCACATTAACTGCCAAACCATGATAGCTACAAAAACCAAAAACTACAATTTTCCAGTTAGATGTTATTTTCTAGTACACATGAGGCTGTGTGAAGTTTCATCTGTAATGTGATTGTCTGAAGACTGGCTTTTGTTACATCAGCAATCTGAGTCATCATCTGCTTACTATTCACAGCTGAGGAGTCTCTCAAATTGGAGTTAAATGGTGCAAATTGCAGAGAGGAGAATGTTCTCCGAGCTGTGCGTTATTATGTCAAATGCATCCAACCCATTCGCAGACAAAAGAGCCTCTTCAGCAGTGAACTAATTATACTGTGGTGGTAAAAAAAAGAGACAGCTGCTGCAACACATCAGCCAGTCAGCTAGATGATATCTGCTTCTTAAGCAACATATAAACATTACAGTTAGCAGTTTCACAATTTGAGTTGAATTACTGAAATAAATTAACTTTTCCACGACATTCTAATGTATTGAGATGCACCTGTAGTCCATGAATCTATCACACTGAGAGGGATTGTTTTACCAGAGGTGTCTTGATTCTCAAGATTGGGCTGGACATCCTCCTGCACTTGTGGACTGGCTTTAACTAGTCCGATCTTAGAGGAAACGAAGGGACAGCTCTGGGACATGGAGATCGCCACCTGAGTGGCTGTGGTCGCCAACTGTCGCTTTGGCTCCTTATGAAGGAGAAGGCCTGAACACAATAAGAACATGAATATAATCAATATATGAAAAGAATCTGAGGTACTGACTACTGACTCATTTTAATTACACAAATATGGAATTTTTTAGTCATATTGTACCTGCTGGTACCTTACAGTGATATAAGTACAGAAAATACAAAAAATAACAGCATTACCTTTTTCCTCAGAGGACTGGCCTTTTACAGAGATCTGGCGGACAATGATCGGACATTGGTCAGCCAAGCCAAAGTATGCTGCCATATTCCTTAGAGAAGGGCCTGGAGTGGACTTCAAGAATGGGCAGTGATGCAGAAAAGCAGACATGATTTTAACAGCTGTAAACAATGGAAAAGATGGTCAGAAAAATAGCTCTGAAAAATACTTTTCCATAATGTAACAACATTGTCAAGCATATTTATGAGAAAGATGCCCAGCTAAAATAATCATTAGGTTACGTAATACTAATAATTAAGTTCTTAAAGAGCCTCTAAAGCGACCCTGATCTAAATTACGAGCAGTGGGGTTCAGGGCGCGCCGGGCACCTAGGCGCGGCCGATAAAGCGCTTTATCTGGAACCCACAGGCTCGCGCTTTCCTCAGCACTCCGTTCTCAAAGTTAAATAGCTGACGTCATATACATTGATAAAGGCTAGATTATACTTACCGAAAAGTATCAACCCTATAAGACGAAGTATTATTACAATGGCCAACAAAAACATTGCGTTGTGAATTTTCGAATGTGTAAACTGAAAGTAGGTAATTCCACTTATATAGGCTACAGTAAAGATGACATTGTTGTTAATAGGCTATAACAACAAGCTATCATATATTATAAAATATATTATAATATTATGTTATATAATAATTTATTATATTATAATATATGCTATAATAATTACACACACACACCCATATATCTTTCAGAGGTCTAGTTGTGGCAGCAAGATGTGGTTTTTCTGACTATTTATGTGGTCTGATTACATTCAACATCACTTATCATCAGCATATCAACAAAGGATCAGAAAATAAACACTTTTTATATTTTCATAAAACAAAAGAAAAGTTTAAACGACTTCATCCTTATTCCCGAGACTGATCTTCTGTCTGTTGGAATAATGTACTAAATACATGACTGCAATTCCCATTTCCAGAGTGACGTATTACCTGTATTAGCCTAGAGCCTATTCGTTGTAAATGTATGTGATACACATTGTTCAAATTTAAATATTGCGTTAATATGATGAGAACATTAACCTACCTGTTGACCTGCACTGAGGACGAACTTCTGAACGGCACCCGTGACCCGACACTCAAACGAACAGCGGAGGAATTGAGCCCGTCAGTCACTCCGCTCACACCCTAAAACTGTGAAGTGTGCGTGACAGCGGGACGTATCTCACACAAGATAAATCAATTGACAGAACTGCACTATTATTCACGCGACTGTTTACTCTTTCATTTGGAAGATATCATTTATTTTATTTTATTTTTAAATAAAAAGTCATTGCGATTATATTTCAATTTAATACAATTTCCATTGATTTGTGTAACATTATAGTAAAATCGTAGTAATGGGTTTAATAATATTGACACAAGACAAATAATCAAATGTTTTATTTATTTTGTGCAAAGCTGGTGAGGCGCTTCATTTCAACATATCAGCAATAAATAGCAATAAATCGATGATTATTTATTTGATATCAACAGTATTAGCCCTGGTCGCACAATAAATAATTCAATAGACACATACATAAATAGCCATGCATTATGTCTATTAAAACCACGATCAGCATGTCCTCACTTTAAACTGCGTTCTTTTATGATAGATAAGATAAATAAGGAACGTTTCATTTTCCTGAGCAAAAGTTATGTTCTAAAGTTATGAGTCATTTTTAGGCACTTTGACTTTTAAATTAAAGCTATATGAACTTTAAACACACTTCTATACATTATGCCATTTATACTCCCCAGATTCAACTATAGTGACATTAGCATTTCCTAGTTCATCATAAGAAGATTGGTCATGATATTCCCCATCATGTTTCCTAAATCATCTCACAATCATATCAAGTCAGGGCATCAAGCCTTCAAATATCTTAACCAAAAGCTGCCTTTTAAAAAAATTAATAATGAAATAAAAATGTTACATACTATAAATATATACAATTTGTGAATACTAAAACCATGCAGGAAATCAAAGGCCACTCAAAGAATGACTATTTAGTCAGTAGTGCTTTTGTGAGTGTAGATCCAATCCGTCTATCCGTTGAACAACTTTTCCACAGCGGGAAAGTACACCAGCATCACAGGATTACATTATTGCTTCTACAAAGTCAATGCAAGGTTATTTGGAGAAATTAGGGCTTGAAGGCCTGAAGATTTCCTCCAGCAGCACTAGGAGGCGGAGGCATCCCAGGGTTTGAGCCAGACTGAACATCCACAAAACCCATCCTCTGCCTTCTTTTCCTCTGCTCGGTCATCTAAATGAACAAATACACAACCATGATTTTATATACTTGAGAATATAAAATCTGAGAAATTAATTCATTTTAATATACCAGCATTATTAATGCTGGACAAACAGTGTTTACATTGATAAATGTACCTGTTCTTTCAGCTCTGACAACTGGCTTGTGAGTTGCGTGACCACTTTCATGGTGGAGGTGAGACGATCCTGCAGGTTCCTCATCTCATTCTGTTCTCCATCTCCCTCAGTTACAACCAGAGACATGGCCTGCATGCGTGGGAACCAATCCAGGTTCTTATTCTAACAAGAGGTGACAACAAGACAGAATAAAAACCCATTGGAAGGTGGAGCAAGAATGAATTAAATAAATTAAAGATACTAGAACTAAACTAAAAGGTTCAATTCAAAGTATTAATAAATACTACAACAGTATATAAATAATACTGAAATAACGCTGGTAATTGCTGTCAATACATAAAATGTGACCAGTATCCAATCAACTGGAATTTTCCTTTTTTTTTTTTTTTAATTTAAATAATACATTGGAAATAACAGTGGTAATTGCTGTTAATATATAGAATGTGACCAGTATCCAAACAGCTGGAATTTTTCATTTTTATTAATTTACCTTTATCATAAGGGCCACGTAGCTCTCTGGGCCAGTGTAATCTGTCTTGTTTTTCTCCCGTACCAGCACAATGAAATAGAGGTAGTGCCAGATGTTATGCTCAAATTTAATGTGTTCCTCAAAGGACACAGTCTTATTATCAAACTTGTCTCTCTCAAGACCTGTTGAAATACAAATACAGACCAATACAATTTACATTGTAAAACAACATTTACAATAATAATAATTTCTAATAATAATAATAATAATAATAATAATAATAATAATAAAACTGGCATAATGGCCGCTGAATATTAAGCTTTGCCATCACAGGAATAAATTGACATTTTAAAAGATATTCAAATCTGATTTCATACCACAAATGAAACAGGTGGTCTTCAGTATCTCCTCTTTCTTTTGTTTTTCACTACGCAGGTCAGCAAAGGTGTCAATAATCACACCAAAAATCAAGTTGAGAACAATGATGATGACAATGAAGTAGAAGAGAAGGTCGTACACCACACGACCAGGGAACAAAGGCTCCTGTAAGTTGAACATTGTATCAGTTTGGTTAGGTTTTGTATTCATATATGTGCACATTTCTATTAGGCTGTAGGTCTCCATACATTTTTAGAGGGTCTGCGCAGGACATCTCCCACACCTCCTCCGTTCCTCAGCCCATGATTCAGCACCGTAACGATGCACATTAGAAGAGTGTCACATGCTCTCTCTGTGTTGTCCTCTTCTTCTGCAAAGACATAAAAAAAAAAAAAAACATTCACAGCCGAGTTCTGATTCCAATACAATAATATTAAACATTGTTTTTAATGCTAAACTCACCCTCTGATGGTGCAACCAACCCAGTTTCCTCTGTGCACTCCACTCCATCTGCACTGCAGCTGCTCATAGAGTTATCTGTACCTGCTTATAGGACAAGAAACGCCATTAAGCCTGTCAAATTGGCATCAATTAATAATAAATGGTATACTGTAATTCAAATTTATCATAAACGCTGGATTTGATGGCTTTCTGCCAAAAAACTAAGAAACAAAGATGAACAGATTCTTTTTTTTTTTTTTTTAATTTACCTTTATCATAAGGGCCACGTAGCTCTCTGGGCCAGTGTAATCGGTCCTGTTTTTCTCCCGTACCAGCACAATGAAATAGAGGTAGTGCCAGATGTTATGCTCAAATTTAATGTGTTCCTCAAAGGACACAGTCTTATTATCAAACTTGTCTCTCTCAAGACCTGTTGAAATACAAATACAGACCAATACAATTTACATTGTAAAACAACATTTACAATAATAATAATTTCTAATAATAATAATAATAATAATAATAATAATAATAATAAAACTGGCATAATGGCCGCTGAATATTAAGCTTTGCCATCACAGGAATAAATTGACATTTTAAAAGATATTCAAATCTGATTTCATACCACAAATGAAACAGGTGGTCTTCAGTATCTCCTCTTTCTTTTGTTTTTCACTACGCAGGTCAGCAAAGGTGTCAATAATCACACCAAAAATCAAGTTGAGAACAATGATGATGACTATGAAGTAGAAGAGAAGGTCGTACACCACACGACCAGGGAACAAAGGCTCCTGTAAGTTGAACATTGTATCAGTTTGGTTAGGTTTTGTATTCATATATGTGCACATTTCTATTAGGCTGTAGGTCTCCATACATTTTTAGAGGGTCTGCGCAGGACATCTCCCACACCTCCTCCGTTCCTCAGCCCATGATTCAGCACCGTAACGATGCACATTAGAAGAGTGTCACATGCTCTCTCTGTGTTGTCCTCTTCTTCTGCAAAGACATAAAAAAAAAAAAAAACATTCACAGCCGAGTTCTGATTCCAATACAATAATATTAAACATTGTTTTTAATGCTAAACTCACCCTCTGATGGTGCAACCAACCCAGTTTCCTCTGTGCACTCCACTCCATCTGCACTGCAGCTGCTCATAGAGTTATCTGTACCTGCTTATAGGACAAGAAACGCCATTAAGCCTGTCAAATTGGCATCAATTAATAATAAATGGTATACTGTAATTCAAATTTATCATAAACGCTGGATTTGATGGCTTTCTGCCAAAAAACTAAGAAACAAAGATGAACAGAGGTGTATGCAATTTACCTGTATCTACGCTAGCAAGCCGGTCGACTTCCATGATGAAGTCATTCCTGAGGAAAAGAAAGCCCACGATGGAGAACAGGTAGACCAGGATGATGGCCAAGACAGCAGTGAGGAGAATAGAGCGGCCGTTACGTGTCACACTCTTGATGACATTAAAGAGCGTCTCCTCACGGTAGATCAGATCAAACAGCTAAAGGGGGTAAAAGAGAAGTGAGAAATAATTAGCAGAATATGCATGTCTTTCAGTCCTACAAAATCACGTCACCGTTTCTCAATTTGTTTAAAAACTATTATATTTTCACTGGCGAGTACAGTATCTCAGTTTTATTTATTCACCAAAAAATCCTTTTAATGGCATTTGGTGCTTGGCAAAAGTGTTGTGGCAAATTTACAATATTGAGGATTAAAACATTGCAGAAATGCAAAAAGTAAACAATTAAAAAGCTACAGTATACACTACCGAACAAAAGCTTGGGGTCGATTTGTCGATTTTTAAAGGTTATTGGAAGAAATCTCACCAAGGCTGGATTTATTTAATCAAAACGCAGTAAAAATAACAATATTGTGAAATATTATTACATTTTTTTCTATTTTAATATATTTTAAATTCTAATTTATTCCTGTGATGCCAAAGCTGAATTTAAAGTCATTACACCAGTCTTCAGTGTCACATGATCCTTCAGAAATTATTCTAATATGCTGATTTTGTACTCAATTATTTATTATTAAAATGTTGAATGTGGTATAAAATCATGACAGTTGTACTTGCTTAATATTTTGGTGTAAACTGCATTTTTTTCCAGGACATTTTATGTATTGAAATTTCAAAAGAACAGCATTTATTTGAAATGTTTTGCAACAATGTAACACTTTTAATGCAACCCTGCTGAATTAAAGTATTAATTTATTTATTTTTTTTTTTTTTTTTAATGAAAACAAAATAAGTTTAATCGGTAGGTACTGTAAGAGTGATTAAATACAATTTTTAACACCCACCAATATGCTGTAGAAGAGCTCATGAACAAAAAGCCCCAGCGTGCTGGTTAGCACATAGGCCAAGTGGTACAGGAACTCCACATCCATCACCATGGCTTTGTAGCCCATGATGAAGGTGCCGTTGTTCCCCACAAAGCTCACCACGAACACTATCTTATTGATCAGCTGGTTAAAAAGAGAAATTAAATCCATTCGTTTTTATTTAAGCAAACATACAGTATTATGGTATGCAAGACTTACATTGAGAGCCCCTAGCAGGATGAGAGATGGCCCAATGCCGAAGTGATAGATGCAGCGCAGGGTGATGGCGACAGTGAGGGACTGGAACCCATAGCGCTTTGATAACAGGCCCAAAACAGCCAGTCCAGCGAAACACCAGAACAGCATAAGCAACAACGAAGCATCGATGCTACCTGGAAGCACAAGAGACTGTTAAATCTACATGGAAAAGCAACTTAGAAAGCCAATTGTTGGTCCATAATTGTGTGCTTTGAAACTGATGGTAAATGTAGCATTTATTAATATAACACAATTAATTAACTAAAGTTACCAACAGATAATGCACACATAAACATACCAGAATGACCAGAGTCATGTGGGTAGAACAAAGCGATGATAAGATTGACGAACACAGCCAGATTGAATGATATGGTGCCCCAGAGAGACATTCGACGAGAGAACCAGTACAGCACTGGCATGCCTAAAACATCACAATAAACCGGTGTTAAGGACATATTTGTAGCAGTTTGAACTTACTAAGCCACAACACCCTAGGCCCAATACTTACTTCGAAGTTTTTTCTGCCATTCCATTTCATTGTGCAGGAAAGAGGTCTGCTCGAAGAAGTGTGTAACCTTGCTGCCCTGCTCGTCCTGCTCTGTGGTGGCAAACACACGGACCTTTGACTCCTCCGTAAGGAACTCACAGATGGGGTGAACAGGAAACACAATCTGCTCCATGCTACGGTCCTCCCGCACAATCTGCATGTGACATGCCAATGGAAATTATTTCACAACTTCTCAATTTCAGATTAATTTTAATCACATTAGCCACAACATTTATTTTATATTCTGCATGGAGACATTAGTAGAGCAGAAATTACTATAGCAGCATAGATTACAACACACAAAGAGAAATTATTATTTTTTATTACCTCAATCTGAGCTGTTTGACGGTCATAGTACTCTAATGGATCCTCCTGTTGCTCCTCCTGCTGCTTGTTCAAGTTGAGCTGCAATAAACACAAGCAAAAATGTAATGTCTTACATACTGTATGCATGTTCTAGGAAATATTGAAAATGTGCTCCTTGTCCTAAAAGAACAATTCACAAGTTACCATAGAAGAGATGCTTTCCTCTCCTTTCTCTTTTGTCTTCTTCTGTGGTTTAAGCAGTGTGAGGAGCATTTTGTTGTGCCGGGCAAGCTGCAAAAAAGAAAAAAAAGAAAAAAGGTCTTTGCAACCAAACTGCCAATAATAATAACAACAATAACAATATGCATATTATGTTTTCATTGTTGTAGTCTATTGGTTGTTTATTGATTGTTGTGTTAAAATACAATTAAAACTATTAAAAATCGTAATATCAGGTATTGGACACAAAATCAAACGAAATAAAAATAATCAGTAGCAGTTGTGAAAACCAATTCTCCAAATACAAAAGTATATCTTTATGATGCAGTGGTCCACCTGTAATCCCAGGATGTAGATGTTGTGTCCAACTTCAAGTGGTGAAACTTCTCCCTCCTCATTTTCAGCCTCTTGCTGGTAAGCCTTTTTTATCACCTCCACCTGAAGACATACAATACAGTACTCAGTAACGTCAAAATACTACTGTTACACTTCATACACATAATACACAAGACACAGCAAAACTGACCAGTTCCCGGGGTCGAAGGTTAAACAGGATCCTCTCTGCATTCTCACTGTCATGACGACTCTCCATCAAAGCGAGCAAGAGCTTAGAGGCATTGTCCTGACAATAATCACATATAAGTAACAATGAACATGATTTATTTATGATTAAAGTAGAGCCTCTGTGTCAGGACTGTATCCTCACCTTGAGCTGCAGCACCAGCTCCATACGGTAACGACAGAGAGGACTGATGTCATTCAGAATCAAGGCTGTGATTATGTCAATACCGTTGCACTCATGAGAGACAATGCATGTCTTCAGACAGACAAAAATCAATTAGAATTTCATTCATTAAATTTTTTCCTGAATTAAAAAAAAAAAACTAAAACAAGAGTTGCCAGTTAATTAGTCTCTGTCAGCAAAAATCATTTTAAAAGAAAACACTTTGTTTCTATAATAGATATCAGCTTGTGTGCTTTATAATAGTTGGCAAGTGAAGATCTATCTGAATCTGGTGTTTCCTGATTCTCTATTTCTGAATCTCCTAAGGATTCATTTTATAATTAAGTACTTTAGTACTTAAAGTAAATTCTCAGCCATGGATTAAATGCATCTATGGCCAAAAATTAAAATAATGCCAGTATTAGTAATTGATAAACTCACCTGGTTCTCGTGGCATGGTCCTTGGCAGTACTCTGTGAGGGTCTCCAGGGTCTGTGTGATCAGCTCCACATTGTTCTCATTGATGTAAAGGCCCAGCAGACCCAGCCCTCCTGTTGTGCTGCCGCACATGATGTCCAGAAATTGGAGTGTCTCACAAACCAAGTTATAATTTGCTTTATTGCTCTGACAGCGAAGAAAATTCTAGGGCAAAGAACATGAAATGTATTAAATGAACAGACAATAATATAATAAATTATAATTTTTCAATTTCTCAGAAAAAGAAAACTTCATATCTTCAACTTGCATCTCCAGTAAATGTATCTTGATTTAAGAATTTTTAGATATTTGCATTGGAAAACAAGACAAAATGTTTTTGCAGTGCATGCAACATTTAATACCATGACTTAAATGTAAGACTTTCTGCTCTCACAAATCAAGACCTTAAAAAGGTCTTAAATCAAAGGATGAATTAAGACTTGTAAAGGCCTTTTTAAGGTCCACTGAAGCCCTGATCATTCTCAAATCATGCTAGATGACATGATCATCATAGCTGATCCTAAACTGATTGTTAATCTAGGGTTGTTCAGACCTGAAGATCGTGATTGTGGTTCTCACAGAGCAGCTGTAAAAAGCGCAGAATAGGTTTCATGATGGTGACAGAGGGGCCCATTTCTGTATCTACTTCCTGCTGCTCAGGTTGAGGTGGCTGCTCAGGTTGGCCAAAGGAAGGCCCTGCACCTATAGGAAACCATTGTTAGAGTCAGCAATAAATGTAGATTGAACTGTTTAATTTATTAGAAATGTATACTAAATATATAAGATGTAGCATAACTTCATTTAATAACAAAATCATTTTGTCCCTTTCCTTTCACAATGTCTGTTTTAAGATGAAGCAAGAGTGCACTTCATACACTTTTTACAAATTACCTGTGTCAAGATCTTTGTCGTCTTTGGCTTTATTGCTCATTTCCCCCACATTGACAGAGATTGTGGATTTGATGTCCAGCTGAGCGTTCTTCATGCGGTCATTTAGTACTTTAAAAAACTTCTCCGACTTGTTGTCTCCCATCATGAGTTTGTAGAAGGAGTTCTATTATAAACAAGAACCGATTTATATATATGGGTACTTTTCCTTGATTATAAAGCTATATAGTTACGGAAGCTGTTACCCCACCTGGATCTCTGTGTTGCCTCCTTCCAGCAGACAGATGGCGAACTGAATGCTCTCCTGAAAGATCTTCTCATTCTTAGAGCTGGTTATGAGGTCTATGAAGAGTTTGGTGCCACCTTCTTTGTCCAGACGACACTGTGATGCTGCCACTGCCAGCCAGTCTCTTTCTCCCTCTCCACCTGAACATACACACACACACACCACAAAGAATGTTTTGTGCTGATCCGGTTAGCAATTACAAAATCAGTCAAACCAGTTTGCGTGATATTCCTTAATTATTCTATGATTTTTCATCAGTAATTTAAAAATTACCTCCTCCATGATCAACAAGCTCTGCTTTTATGTTCTTTTTGTTGTTGTAGAGGTAGTTCTGGAGCAACACCTTTCTTAAGGCAAAGCCCTGCAAAAGACAGCAATTTCATTGTTACATTAAATCAATTACAATGACCAAAGAACCCAAACTTACCCACCCAAAAATAAAACTTTTGGCATTAAAAGACATTTCCAGAAGTTTCTTTTTACTCTGGAAATAACACCAAGCAATATGATTTAGGAATACACCTTAGAACAGAATGTAACTTGTATTCTGATTATTATATTCATATTTAATATGTATTATTTAGAATATACCTTTAGAATATTAAGTTAAACTAAGAATATATTTTAGAATTTTTAAAATGGCATGTTACAATTTTTAGAAAGCTAAATATTTAGAATGTATAAATTGATTTTTTTTTTTACACTTCATACAGTTAATGTTAATTTGATCATTCACATTTGAATGAGAAATTGTTTGATTACATGGTGATATTAAAAATATTATCTAATCTCACCTTCTCATCAAAGTCCAGCTCACGAATGAGCATTTCCTGTAGAGTTCTGAGGACTTTGATACAGAGCTTCTCATCTGAATTCATGAGGGCTTTTGTGTGCTGGATCAATCTGCACAAAGTTAAAAGAGTGAGGTGATGATGACGCACCCTCACAAATAGTAATATAGCATTATGCAACATCAATTCTGTGTTTATCTGACTGAGCCACAACATGCATGCTGAAAGTTTTATGGTAAAAGTCCCAGTTTAGACAGAAGTGACTCACTTAGATATGAAGCCTCCTGATTCACAGCGTGATCGAGCATCTGTGCCTTCCAAGAACAACAGCTCAGGCTGGTGCAGCACATCCACGAGCACTGACAGCTCTGCATTAACCAACGGCATCACATGATCCTCCAGTGTGTTAATGATATCCTAACAGAACAGTGTTACACAAACATTAATACACTACATGTACTGTATACATTATTATTGATAGAAATAACACTCAAACAAACAAACTATTTAAGTCTGTATGGGGACATATATTACAGTCCTGGAGTGTCATGCACAAGTTGTGTAAGACAGTCACAGTATTTTTGACAAACACCTTTTTTGATAATTATTTCTTTTGGAAGTCACTTGACTCCAAAATCTAAAAGGAGATTAAATATGCATTCTTTTTCAGATACACACACACACGCATGCATATAGGCACCTGTAGTTTCTCAATTATGTTTTTGTAGTCCCAGGGGTTGGTGGGAGCAGCAGCCCGTGTGAGGCGTGACAGGCTTTTGTTGCTGTGACTGGAGCGGGACAGTGTGAGGGCATTACTGTGACTTAACATTATATTAACGTGATTCTCCAACTCTAGCGGCAGAGGGATGGAGCGACTCTTTGCTGTGGGGACAGTCAGGTAAACAAATAAGTTGTCTGGTCGTACTTCAAAAACCTTTATTGTATATGAAAACTGAAACACTTGTCACATTTTAGGCCTGTAAAATCATTTTTTTAACTTAAACTTTTTTTATCCCTTAGAATGCATCTATTTTCTTAGAAAGCAAGTTGACCTACTTGTCACTGCCAGAGTTCTGATGCAGGAATCTACTTGGACTTTTTGTTGTGGCTGTAGCCAGGGACAATCTAACAGACGCATAGTAGACTGTAGCAGCTGCTTTACAATGGTGTGATGAGCCTGAATGAGACAAAAGAAAGAGAAAATGAGAGGGAGAGGGAGAAGAGAAACCTGGATAATTAAATGTGAACTTATGAAATCGGAAAAGCATTTATGTGATATGATAGACGTTATATAACAGCTATAATATTCATCGTATTATTCCTCCTGTAAAGTTATCTTCTTCTCTAAAAAATAACTCATATATTCAGATTTACACTTCCGTTCAAAAGTTTGAGGTCATTAAGGGTTTTTTTTTTATTATTCAGCAAAGGCATTACATTGATCAAAAGTGAAAGTAAAGGCTTTTACATTGTTACAAAACTTTTTTTTTTTTTTTCAAATAAATACTTTTATTTTAAACTTTCTGTTAATCAAAAATGTATCACAACTGTATTAAGCACTGATAATAAGAAATGCTTCTTGAGCACCAAATCAGCATATTAGAATTATTTCTGAAGGATCATGTGACACTAGAGTTATGAGTGCTGAAAATTCAGCTTTGCCATCACAGGAATAAATGTCATTTTATAATATATTCACATATACAGTATTCAAAAAAGTTATTTGAAATTGTATTAATATTTCACAATATTATTGTTTTACTGTAATTTGATCCAATAAATGAACTTCTATCAAAAACATTAAAAAAAAATCTTCCCAAAACTTTTGAACAGAAGTGTATTTACTTGGAACATATTCTAAATGTTTTTTGTCAGTTCCTTTGACTAAAATGTTAGTTTTTGTAGTTTTGTTTCACTAAATTTCTAAAATGCAGCAATTCTTTAATTAACACAAGAGAAAAGGTTCAATCCAAAGATCTGTGCTATTCACAATGAATAGAGGCTGATGTGGCAGAGACCAGAAATAAGACTTTGAAAGACTATTGATGCCTCACCTCTGTGCTTGTGCTGTTCTCTGAGAAGGGAGAGCTGAAGAAGGCATTTATAGTGTCTAAAACCACTTGAATCACATACTTCTCCAGCACAGGGTCTGACATGCGCTTCTCACGGTTGGAGCACACCTGGAATTCCAAATAAACCAAGTTAATGAAACTCTTTATTCTTCCACACGGCGTCAGTGGTACAGCGGACTCACCCTAGCCATATCTACAGTGAAGTTGTCAAACAGCTTCCAGATGTGGTTACTGGTGTAGATCTCTTTCATCTCCACTTCTGTGTCTACATAGCAGTGGTTCACAAAGTTTACATATGCAATTTTCACCTGCATGACACAAAGGAGACTCCTAAATTTTCTGATACACTTTATGCAATATGCTTTTTTTTATCCCCAAACACATTCATGCTATAAATGCTCATGTAATTTAATCAATTAACTGGCTCTTGTAACAAACAAATATAGGGAGGCTGAACATAATCTTTCAGGATAAGTGGAAAAAAGAAACATGACACATTGTTTAAGAATAAGCGCTTTCATTTCATGTTTACCATCCATCATCTGATTACCTCTGTGATGCAGTCTTCATGTGTGATTACTTTCACCATGTCCTCCAGGGGCAGCAGAGATGTGCACTTGATCTCAGTGTAGACGTTTTTGCCCTCCGCACATGCAGCCAGCAGCTCTACCAGAGAAATATGGTACCGGAGAGGGCTGTCGTCCTTCACCCCTTCCCTAGACTGTGTCATCAGTTCCACCATGGTGTCAAATGATGTGTCATCATTGTAGAAGACGACCACATCATCACCCGCACTTGTAAGCTAATGGAGAAAAAAAGATGTCATCTGACACAGGTCATGCTAATCAGTCTTTTACACTGTATATATACCATCAATTGAATGGACATTTCCTTGAATTCATTATATAATTACCAATAAATATCATAAAATGCTAAAAAAAATCTTATAAAACATTACACCAACCATATACTAAATAGAAAAACCTACAAATATATCCCATAATATATCTCAATTTAGCAATTTGATATTTAAGATCTTAATTAAAGTAGTTATACACTGTTTCTTAAAATTATTGCAAATGGTTAAAATGAATATATGCTGTTCAATAAAACAAGGTTACTTTATTTCGATCACAATAACAAACCTCTGTCATGATCATGTCTTGACATTTCTTGACATATTTCCCCTCGGCCTTAATGATGGTGTGCAGAAAGTTGAGGTACTGAATGTGGCGGCCATGTGTGGCCAGACAATGGATAAAATGATGCAGCACAGACTCGCTGATCTCAGAACAGAGCTGGTAATTATTACTGAAAATGTGCTGCATTGTTTCTGCCTCTAGGAGCTGAGAGAGACAAAACAAAAACCAGAAAAGAGAACCCAATGCAAACATGATAAGCATCTTAGGCTATTTTAAGCATCATGCTTTGCACTCACCCCAGGGGTGAGAAAGAGGTTGAGGTGTTTATGGAGGAGGTTTTGATTCTCCAGATTCCCAGTGCAGAACCTCTGTAGGAACAGGTGCGTGTACTTGATGATCTCATGCATTTTGGTGTCATTCTGTTAAAAAAAACAAAAATCATGCGTTTAGTGAGGGACAAGCCAAAGACCATGCTTCACATCTACCACAGATTTTATCTGCTTTAAAAAAAAACACAAACCCGATCATAGGAGATCTGCAACAGGTCAAGCATTACTTTGTGGGCACCCATGTTCTTCAATAGCCTTTGTTGTTTCTTAAATACACCTGAGCTGCACATTTTATTCAAACGCTCTAGAATCTGGAGATCAGAGAAAAGATTTAATTGTCGCAAAAAATATTGGTTTGTTCATTTACCAAGTTTCCATCCATCTATACACATTTATATATACTGTACATTGAAAACAAAATATATAAAATGCTTATTTGTGTATACAAAAAATGTATAACTTTAATTATCATAATATACCGTTCAAAAGTTTGAGGTCAGTTCGATTTTTTTAATGTTTTTTAAAGATGTATCAAAATCATTCTAATTTGCTTATTCGTATACTGCTGTTGAAAACATGCTTAATATTTTTGCAGAAACCATGATCCATTTTTTACAGGATTCTTTGATGAATAATAAGTTCAAAAGCATTTATTTGCAATATAAATCCTTTGCAACATTATAAATGTCTACTGTCACTTTTGAACAATTTAATACATTCTTGCTGAATAAAAATATTAATTTCTTTAAAAAAAAAAAATCTTACTGTCCACAAACTTTCGAACAGTAGTGCAATTTACTATCTCAAACTTTTAATATATTACTGAACAACAGACAAATACACTAAGAACATATGCAAAAACATCACCTCTTTGACATTCTGGTAGCTTTCATTGCTCTTTTCAACCTTCTGTTTCTTTGTATCTGACTCCTCCTCTGGAGATGCCTGCATGAAAAAGAAAACAAAAATGAGCTTCTTTCACCTAATTATCTTGTTATTCATAATCCCACATGTCTCAGTGCATGACTCACCGGGGCAGCCTCTTTTTTGTCTTTCTTGTCTTTCTTCCCATCTCCCCCAGAGCTACTTTTTTTAATGACCCAAAGCTCAGACTTCTCCACCATGGTGCGCAGAAGATCCAGATCTCGTTTTATGTGCTTGTAGTTGTCCACATCCTGAACTGAAATGAGAAGCTGGACCTGAGGAGAACAAACATAGCGAGATGAAAAACTGACATCAACCATTTTTATCTTTACAAAAGTGATTGCATTTGCATCTTGCATTGCAAAAGTACTTTTTCATTTTGTGCCACTGGAATTCTGATTTGCCACATGCACATGAGCAATAAAATTGACATTTTATGGTCTGCACAGGTGTTAATTTACATTTTGCACATTTGGGGATGTGCATTACCTGCAGATGTTTTACCTGGAGGTGTCTCGGCACAACTTTTTACCAATAAAAAATAAAGTTGTTTGTATATGTTTGAGTGGGCTGTACATTCAACCTGTTTAAAGGTGTGGAGGACTTCCTCTCTTTGACTGAAGTGCTTGAAGAGCAACTGCAAGGCCCCCGAAACCAAAGGGGGGTAATCGTGCATGATGAGGTGGACCAGAACACGCAGAAACATTCGTCCCCCTTCATCGTCCACTTCCAGAATACTGTTTCCTTTACTATACGATCAGAGTAAAGTCAAAGAGAGGTCATCTCTCACAAGCACTAAATATCTTAGTATATATCTTTGATGAACAGTCATGTGGAAATAGAATAAATTGTTCATTAACAAACCCAATTCCAAACATGGCCTCAGCCTGTTCCCCAATGTGCTGGAGGTTGATGGAAGCTGTTTAAAATATTAAATAAATAAATAAATAACACAAATGTACTATCAGAAAACAAATGACTACTCTAACCTAAATTTAATTCGATTTAAAATGGTCATCCATTAAAGGTGAAGTGTGTAATTTCTGAGCCACTAGCAGCATCAAATAGAGCTGCAAAAATCAAACAGGTTTTTCAATGTAAAAATTACTTACTAATAGTTGTCTTGCATATTAAGTGATAGGAGAAAATAATTTAACATCAAAAATTACAGACTACACCGTTAATGCATTAATTTTAAAAATCAAGAAATTATGTAACATTGCCACTCTCACCAGAACGGGGCTCTGAGACAAACACAAAAACAAAGATGAAAAATAGAGTAGAGGGATTAGTACACGGAAGAATGGAAGAATTATGTTGTTATTTGATTATAATGTAATTTTAGATATTGTTAATTGATTATATTATTATTATAAATGTTATTTGATTAGTAGTTAGGTTCTGACAATAACAAGAGTTCCATTTTCAATATTTGTCTAAACATCATTACCCTCCTGCTCCGTATGATGTGTTGCATCTGCATCACCCATAGGATAGACATCCACAAACTCCTTCTTGAAGACAGAGAGCAGGAAGGAAAGCCGATAGTCCAGACGTACACTGAGGATGAACTGCACAAACCAGTAGTAGATTTAGATATTGCCAGCACTGACAGCATAAAGCTGTTGCCATCTTCGACAGCATCTACCTGTAATATCTCCAGGATCTTCAGTTTGGTGTCCATGACGGTGATGTCCTGTGTGTCAATGCTATCTTTACTGCCGGCCTGGCTGTCTAGAGCACCAGGGCGACCAGAGCCCGAGAAAAGGGATGGCTTCCTGTTTAGCACCATGGTGGACATCATCTGCCCCATGCCATGAATAGAGCGCCTGACGTTCTTACCTAGGAAGATGAAACAGTTTTATTGGCCATTTTGGACAATGGAATTCTAGGAAGTTTAGTTGTCTCATTGTGTAACACAAATAATCAATATATACACTCTAGACTTAAAAACAATTAACATGGAGATATCGGTTCCTAAATTAAACGTTAGGAGACAAATGACTTTAGCAGACACATTGCATAACTGCTCAAAAAAGATGCACTTTAATTCATAATACGGTCTCCCATCCAAGTGCTAACCAGACCCGACCCTCCGAGATCACCGAGATCAGACAAGATCGGGCGAGAACTTTTTTTTTTTTTTTTTTTTTTTTTTTTTTTTCAAAAATATTTTAACATTTTTAGAATTATATTATTTGTTTATGATGACAAACTCTGTTGTGAACATTAGATTTTTTTAGGCAAAAAATGTATCATTTTATTCACAGTCTGGAACCTTATATCTAAAACAAGTTTTTTTTTCTTGTTTTTAAATACTTACCACTGCCATCATCGCTAAACATCGGGTTGATTGTAGCATTACTCGGAGTGCAGTCTACGATTCCCAGGAGAGTGCGAGTCAGCCTCAGAAGCTCAAAAAAACTGTAGAACCCAAAGTAGATGAGATGTCTTGCCAAGCTCACCACCTACAAACAATGTAAATGAAACAAATATGTAAATGTGATTTAGGAATATTAGTGTTAACGCTGACATTTATATGTTAAAGCATGTCGTCTTGATATTTCATTTTAATATATAATATATAACTGTACCTCATATGTTAGCTTGTTTTTCTCCTCATTGGCAAAAGGTAGGTCATCAATGAGAACATTGTTGAGGTACTCCTCCATAAAAGCCATTGTATTGGCAAACTTGTTCTTTTTATTGTCTCGTGAATAGTCCAAGTGAGAGTCATAACTATAACAAAAAAACAGCAAACCCCATAATCACACCTTTTATTGCTTAAATAGTGATTATAAACTGCAATATAAAAAGTTTAATGTCTTTACATAAACTACCTTTCAAAAGTTTGGGGTCATTTTTTTCCAAAAGATATTAATACTTTTATTCAGCATATTAGATGACTTCTGAAGGATCATGTGACTTAAGACTGGTGTAATGGCTGCTGAAAATTCAGCTTTGCCATCACAGAATAAATCACATTTTAAAATATATTAAAAATACAAAACGGTTATTTTAAATTGTTTTAATATTTCACAATATTACTCTTTTACTGTAATTTTGATCAAATAAATACAGTCTGGGTGAGCTTAAGAGACTACAAAATTATAGATGATGAATGGTTGTGTAGCTGAGCATGATTTAAAAATTTCAATATTAAGTCATATATAAGGTGATTGTGTGGGTATGTGAACACACTCTTTGATGCTGATAGAAGTGGGCATCTCAGCCCACAAGCGAGCAAACTTGATGGGTGTCACAAGCTCCTGAGGGTCTCGGTCAACATGTGCATGTAGCATGAGTCTACAGAAAGACGCCCGCAGGTCAAAGGGAAGAGCCTCATCCATCATGCAGAGGGAAATCAGCTCCACATCCAGTTGCTTTGAGATCTCATCTATGGCCAGATACTGGCGATCAAAACACATTCGTGCAAACAGTTTGAGCTGGTACCTGAAAAAAACAACAATATATTAGTGCAGATGACTTTTAAAGAATTCATGTCCAGCAACAATAAAATAATGAAATAATCTCTTTATGTGCTGTCAATTTAACATGTTCATTTAGTACAATCCAATACAAATCTATACAACTGACAGTTAAACTGACAGCACAAAGAGATTATTTCATTATTGCAGCATTCCATTTATATTTAAAATAAGTTTAAACAACTGACAGGCCTGGTTATTTCTCGTTTTTATTACCTGTAATATGTCAGCACATTTTCGTCATGCACATTCCCTTGCCGGGCCTCTTGGGCAAGCTGTCGAATGCTCTTCTCATGGGTCTCGTTCTCCTTCTCAGACCAAATCAGCCAAACTTCATCCTCCTCTCCAAACTCTTCCATATACTCAGAGGTGTGCTGTGTGTCCTTAGCGGCTCGCCGCCTTCACAAACACACACAAAAAGAATTCACATGAGCACATAACCCGAGACAGACACATTATACAATTTTTTGTAGACTTACTCCGTTTTCATGAGAATATCCTGGTTTTTGGCATCCAGCACACATTTACATATCAGCTCTTGAGTTACTGGGATCGCAACATTATTGGACACACACAAGTCTGATAGATAGTCAAGAAACCTGGAAATCAAAACATAAACATAGACATTTACCGACACAGGCATGTTAAAAGCTATGCACAAAAAAAGAAGGAAAACCTGTTTTTCCCACCCCCAATATGACTATTATTATTATTCAATCATAATGATAATAATAATTTACAGAGCAACAGTAAAATTACAACACTAATTTTTATGGCTGTCTTAAACTTTTTGCATTCAAATGTTGAACCATAGAGCTTTTACTCTGACACAGCAAAAAAAAAAATTATTATAACAATAATGCAGGAAATAGGGAGGAGCTTCAAAATTTACCAATAAATTAATTACCAAATAATTTGGCCAATTACTTTTCATGACTTTTCCAGCCAATTTGAATTCTTTTAACACTACTACACTCCAAATGAGCATTTTTAACCCTAGCAAAACAAACGTCTATAACTTTAAACATTGTATTAATTTCCATTACTTTTCCAGACCTGTAACCCACAAAATTCATAACTTTAAGGTTCAAAAAACATATATCCACAAAAATATTAGGCAGCACAACTGTTTTCAACATTGATAAAAATAAGAAATGTTACTTGAGGACCAAATCTAAAAAATTAAACATTCAGCATTGCCCTCAGAGGTATAAATTACATTTTTAAATGTATTAAAATAAATGTAACATAAAATTACATCAAATAAAATATAGTAAGATAAATATATCAAAATACTAAATGAATTTAAATTGTAATAATATTTCACAAAATTATTATTTTTACTGTATTTTTGATCAAATAAATGTAGCCTGGGCTTAAGAGATTGCTTTCAAAAACATTTTTAAAATATGACCGAACCCCAAACTTTTAAACGGTAATGCAATAAAATTAATAAACTATTAAACTGTGATATACAACACTTAGCAAATGCAGAGAAAAATAAATAAATAAATAAATAGTTGTAGTAAAACACACAACTTATGTTTTAATTCTACCATTTTTAAAATTAAATAAATGTTTCAGACATAAATATATACAGTATTCTCGACATTAAGAAGTTACGGTTAGATACTGTATGTAGAGAGAAAGATTTTCACCATTAATCGAATGGGTCTCTCCTCATCGATGTCGATGGGAATGTTGGTGCTTTGGATCCAAGTGTTTGTGCACAGGTGACGGAATCGAACATAAGAATTTCTGTTGGAAATCCAGAAGATGAATATGCACCCACAGGATGCAGCAAGACAAAAAGAGAGAGAGAGTAAAGGATAGAATCGAATACCGTGGCACAAACGAATCAGTCTTCTGCAGTGTGGTGGGGTCCAGCTCAAACAGTGAGGCGATGTCATTACCATGAGGCACTGCAACTAGCTTGTATTTTATCCTCTCTCCTAGGCCTCTCTTTATACGGCTACTATCCACCTACGGACATAGTACCAGTCAGAGACTTTCTGGGAGAAGAGGTTTCAGAACACATAAGAATTTATATCATCTCGTGAACTCCTGATCCAAGTCTTACAGTGAGATGTCTACCAGAAAGTTTTTCCATGTGTTACCATGCCATATAGCAACAAGTCACACCTACCTCTATATCATTGCTGTTTTCTTTATAACCTGGATTCTCCTGCAACACAAATAATTAATGTAAATAAGTAATTCTAATATTATTAAACCATATATCAGATTACTATAAATGTGGAGGGATTTACCTCAGCAGCAAGATAGTTTCCTGTGGCCAAGTGTTTGAATCGGTACAGGCTGTTCCAATGTCCTGCTCCTCCACGACACGGATCATGGTGAACCACCTACAACCAACAAGCAAACAACCCAACATTATGTCACTATGGAGGCACCTTTCCACCTCTGAATAATAAAAAAAAGACAATTGTGATTAATTGATCATTGAAAGTTCAAATTGATTAAAATTGATCTCTCATGATTCCAGCTTCACATCATATAAAAAAGATCAAGACAACAGGTTTCTAAAAATGCTACATGGCATACTACATAAATAAAAGCATCAAGAAATTAAAAACAGTTAAAATATTAACATTAATCTATTTTGAATACATTTCTAATTATAATACAAATTCATTTTTATGTATAATATATGTGGCTCTTTTGAGGATATAGTCCTACACCCATCCGAATCTAAATCCTACCATTAACTGCAGGAAATCTGCTAAATCGATCTATGAGGAGGCTCTTACCTCAACCTCCCATAATGCATTGGAGCTGGTGGCTGAAGTAGCACTAACCTGGGCTCCCTGTTCTTACGAACCAGACTGACGAAAGTCTCCACCTCGGTTTTAGTGATATGTTTCTCCAGCAGTTTGCGGTTGTTGTGTAGCAGGGCTGTGATGGTGTCCTCAGCCAAAATATCATAGCCGATCTGAGACTGCATCATTCCAAACTGCTTGGCTATGTGCTCCTGTAAGACAAATCCCCATCTCTAAATGCTGTCTTGTGGCTCTTTCTAGAGTGACAGGATGTCTGGTTGCCATTCCTACAATTTCAACATTCAACATCACGGCTTTTTGTAATGTCCCTGTGTTCTAAACCATTCTTGAGCACCTGTGTTAGTATGGACTGGAGTACCTGATTCTTTCGGTAGTCTTCTTGTGAATGACGCAGCACCCTGTAGCACAGTCTGAGCATGTATTGATAGGGGGCGTATTTCTGGTCAGACAGCTCATCTAACGTTAGTAGAGGCGGCTCAGTGCCCCTCTGTTTAAATGGGGCTTTAATGATCCCAAATATCTAAGCAGAAAAAGAGACAGCAAGATAGTCTTTAAGAGATTAGATCATTCACCAACAAAGACGTTTCAACTGTAGACGCATTATAGTTTTCCAATCGTTAAAATCAGACCTGTTTGAGAATGTTCTGCTCTCTCATAAGTTTCTGTCTTTCTCGGTTGGGCTTGTTCATCATCACCTCCAGGGCTGGCTGGCCATTGTTAAACTGATCGACGACAAAGAAAACCACATCCTCCAGCAGTTTAACGGCATACCTGTGCATAGAGAGGGTGCATGAAGCGCTGACATAATATATTCTACAACAGGTTTACTTTACAAGTATTTACAAAGTAAAAACCACAGCTATTAAGGGCATAAAACCTCAGGCTGAGACTCTGGGTTGGTGCTTGTGTGTCATGTCAGCAAAATCTAGATCTCTAATCTCCATGACCGGCACAGAGACAATGGCAAAGGCTTCCTTATCCTCTTTGGTGGGGCAGGTGCCCAGCTAGCAGAAGAAGAGGAGGAAGAGAAGGAAAAAGTGAATACTAAAATAAATAAAGCTTAGACTTGTACTCATCACAGGTCAGAAACTTCTCCTGTTCTGCGTGGAAGAGCCTCACCACGTCTCCCTATGCATGAACAGCATGAATATGACTTTTTTTATGAGATGTCAACATAACTGCCTTGGCTTTGGATGTATATCATAAAACTTGATATGCATGAACTACAGTACAGGTTTGTAATAATGACTTTTGCATGTGATCGTTGCACTTACTCCCTTAAGGACTTCATCTTTGTGGTCACTGAACATCATAAACAGACTGATCTTCCAGCTGGTGTTGCTGTTGACTGAATTGATCTGTAGGGGGCAGTCTTACATTATAAAAAGACTAATGGCACACGACACTTTCAGCTTATTTTGCTGACTTTTCTTCACAGAACCATTACTAATCAGTAAAGACAACATGTACATTTTGGAAAATTGACAACAACTAGTTTGCGGTAAATGTAACTATTGGGCTGCTTACAATCACCCACAATCCCTCTGTCTACTTCACAGTCATGTTAACAAAGAACTTCAAGGCAAACAGATCATGTCTTCTCAAACAGGCCCACCTCTTTGCACCCTGGGTGATCGGGAAGCTCATAACTACTGGCATGGAGAGGCTGTCCAGCATTCACAGGATTCAGGATCACCTTATCTCCAACTACCACCTGAAATAGAGTATAATCGATTCAGTGAGGGGTTCAATATGACTGTCACAGCCACAGACATCTGAAAAGCAAATATGTACATCTCTATCAGTTTACACAAGGGAGAAGCAATCTACAAACATTTCAGTTCGGATTAGCTCGGTAAACCTGTTTATATGTGTATAGGGTCATTTGCATGCATTTACCTAACTTGGTGAGTGTGCATGTGGGCTGTGTGTGCACTAAGTATGTGTGTCTATATTTTTATAGACTATGATATGTAATTAGGTGTGCAGGTAAATGTATGCCGTCAAAAAAATGTAGGTGTATCTATATAGGTATAAAAGGTGAATCTCATAAAAGCATGCAAAGTTATACTGCAGCCCAAAACCAAAAGAAAAGAAAAAACATGTAAAAAGCCTTTTACACACAGAAAACGGAGCTTGCTTACAAAGATTTACTACATTGTGACATAAAAAGCATCTGGATGTTATTTTCTATGTTATTTTTCATTTTTATATTTTTCTATCATTAATACAGTATTTTTATGTATTACAGTAAAATATTACAGTAATAAATGTATTAAATTCAGCACAAATTATACAAATACTGCATAATGTAAATATTTAAGTCATTTTTATATTTTTACAGTAGTACATTATTTTTACATTAGTCACAAAAGCTGTGGGGGGAAGCAGTGTTATTTTAGTATCATAGCAATACTATTATATTTTTATTAATAATTTGTTTTTTTGTTTGTTTTGTTTTTTTAATTTTAGTGTTTTAATTTTAAATTTCATTCATTTTGTTGTGGGGTTATTTCACATCATGTATATATTTCAGTTTTAGTTATTTTATTACATAAAGTTAAAATAAATTAAAATGAGAAATGTTGCCTTGGAAACTAGCTGAAATAAAAAAAGGTTTTTATATTTTATTTCAGTTAACGTTTATTTTACTTCAAGTAATGAAAATGTTTTTTTAATGGTTTTAATTTTAGTTTAGTGTCGCAATAATCAATATATCGACTTATCGCACAATATATGTACATGACCTCAATAATTTTTGGTGACGCAATATATTTCCCATTATATTTACATAAAAATTAATGTCACCATGTTTTTTGCATTCCACTTGCGCCTGTGTCTTTTGCAGCTTCTCGAACATAACGTGGTGTAGTTGGTGCTAGTTCAAATTTAAAAAATGCTTCTAGAAAAAAAGTTTCATCTGCAGATATGGCCTTGTTTAGGGATCTGTGCCTTTGTGCATACGGACATCTGACTGCTAAGTAGGGATTGTGTTTTCCAGCAATACAGTGCACCCTTAATTTACAGAGAAAAGAAGGTCCAGGAAAAATCTCCATACAAGTTTTTTGTGAATTTGTCTTTTTTCTACTTGTTACTTTGCACTTTTTGTTAGAAAATGTTTATTTACTATTTATTCAAGTTTTTTAAGGTATCTAATACAGCAATACAGTGCACCCTTAATTTACAGAGAAAAGAAGGTCTGGGAAAAATCTGTAGATGGAAAAATCTCCATACAAGTTCTTTGTTACTTTGCACTTTTTGTTAGAAAATGTTTATTTACTATTTATTCAAGTTTTTTAAGGTATCTAATATTTTGGTACTTAATTTCCATTATCTAAATATTCTTAAGAATTGAAAGTTTGTTGTCATTTGCAAGTGTGTTGGCCTTCTTGCATTATTATGCTTTTATATTATGAATATATATTCAGTGGCATAAAATGGTCTTAAAATGACAATAATATTGTTTATCGCAATTTTTCTGGGGCAATATATCGCACAACAGTTTATATTATGTGTCTTTTGTGTTTCTTGTGTGCTTGCATATGCATGTGTGAATTACATTGTCTCCATTGGCTCTGAGCTTCCAGAAAGGTTGGATGAAAAGCCAGGATCCCTCATTCCCCGTCCCATCAAGAGTGACACGCATTGCGTTCTTCTCCAGCAACGCTGGGAGACGCTTATTCACTGTCAAATACTTGTTGCTCTTCATGTGCAGGAGCTGAAAACATGAACATTTATTAGAATAAACACTTTTAGTCTGTAAACTCTTTCTTAAATATAAAAAGGACAGTCCAGGCTCTAAAATAGGATGGAGATTGGCGAAAGAACTGTTATGACTTTGATTAATAAACTGAATTATTAACTGAACATTTGCATCTTAAATCATATTGTTGCCGACTTATTATAAATGCAAGTCGCTTGAGACCATCGTGCCAACAACACCCTCTCACTTTACCACACAGCCTTTGTGGTTGTTTGCTTATTTCCACAGCGCTGCACCTACTACAGAGCTTCTTAGTATGAAAGTACTTCCTTTTTGACTAAAAAAAGACCTTGCAAATATCTTGAATGGGTATGTTATAATATGCTAGCACCTCCACTGCCACTGTGTGCCTGCTGAATGGAAGTAAACAGAGCTGATGACTTTAAACTACTCAACCATTTCTGAAGACAACAACATTATTTCAATAAAAAAATAAAAATAAAATGCATGTTGGCTTTAACCCACAGGAATCACTGGAAATGGGAAGCTCCTATTTATTTTAGGATACTCTATAGTAACAGGAAAAGGCTTTATTTCCTATAGTGTGGCATTGCTGTAGGCAATTATCTGTAACTGACGTCACTGCCAGGGAGGAAACACATTTCTTTTTTGCTTAGATAAAGATGTGCGTGTATAGCTGTGACCCATTAACAAACTCAGCATGTCTACAAAAGTCAACATAAAATCAAAAGTGACTTTCTTAAGTTTATTAATACACATACTGTGCAAGATTCATTTAATGCATGTTATTCCAAAGAAACAAAATGTTTGTATGTGTTATCTTTAATCAAAAATATTTCCAGCTAATATTACTAACCCAGCTCCAAATGTCGTATACACACCATGTCTAGCCATTTACAAAAAAGAAACCACCCACTTTTCAAGATTTTTTTTTACAGCGAAAAAGTCATATAATAACTCTTTTTAGAGTCCATAGTTGGTGGTGCACCTTGAATCTTGAATGAAATGCATGATTACGTTGAGTGACTAGGATAACTCTTAATCTTTTGTTTCTAGAAACAAGGTTTACATTACAGAACTGCACATTTCTACTCCTCTATAAAAGGGATTAAATGGTTTTGCACTTAGGTCTATCTGTCGGGACAAGACAGCTGTTTCTTTACATAACCTTACAAAACCTCTCCTGATTTTGTCAGTTTTAACATAATTATTAAATGGAGTAACATAATGTCCTGAAGAAATGTTTGGGGGAAAAAATATATCTTTCTAATGTGAATTATTAAAAAAAAAAAAAATCAGCCAAGATGCATTTATAGACAAACAACCAAAAACATCAGATCACACTGACTGCATCAGCAACTAATTAACAGATATAATTTTACTAAATGCAGATTCTCACCTGAATGACACTGCCATATTTTACCACATCCCCATGGACCTTTTTGTTCTCAGTTTCATTCTGCTTTTGTTCCAAATTAGCTGCATGCTTTGGTTCGAGCCAAAAAACAAAACAAAACAAATGAGTAACAAAGAACTGCAAGCAGCTAAAATGTCAATCATCATATGAAATTTGTCCAAGCAAACATATTGAATCCATCAGATTCCTCTTTGCTCACAGCTGTAATTAAAAACCAAAGGTGGATTCTGTTGATGATCTAAATTCAATAGAACTGTTTGTGACTTACTTGCAATTTCTGAAGAAGCACCATGTCTCCAATCTTATCCTTCTCATGCTTTGCCTGTTTAGCCTTCCAGAACTGCTTCTGGGCAGAATATCGGTTCATGGGATAAACCTTAAAGAGGCAGTCTAGATCCAAAAATAAATAGATAAATAAATAACATTTGTATCAGCTGTTTGTGTGCCTGTTTTTGGAAAATGTGATTCAATTTAAAAATAACATTTTTTTATTTTTTTATTTGTAGACACTGTTCTTGTGAGACCAAAAAAGTCTCTAAATACTGAATTTTGGGAAAGAATAAAAGGAAGATTTAAAATTTGCTTTGGACTTTCACAGGAAACGGGACAAAATAATTTTGTATTCGCTCACATTTGATCTCAACTAAACTTTTGTATCATCTGCAGATCAGATGTGAACTTAATGGGTTGGAGGGTTTATGGTTTGAGGTTACTTTACTGCATTGTTGACCCAGTTAGTTACCAACAAACCAACACTAACATAAATAGCAGCTTGCTCAACAGGACTCTCCAATCTTATCCTTCTCATGTTTTGCCTGTTTAGCCTTCCAGAACTGCTTCTGGGCAGAATATCGGTTCATGGGATAAACCTTAAAGAGGCAGTCTAGATCCAAAAATAAATAGATAAATAAATAACATTTGTATCAGCTGTTTGTGTGCCTGTTTTTGGAAAATGTGATTCAATTTAAAAATAACATTTTTTTATTTTTTTATTTGTAGACACTGTTCTTGTGAGACCAAAAAAGTCTCTAAATACTGAATTTTGGGAAAGAATAAAAGGAAGATTTAAAATTTGCTTTGGACTTTCACAGGAAACGGGACAAAATAATTTTGTATTCGCTCACATTTGATCTCAACTAAACTTTTGTATCATCTGCAGATCAGATCTGAACTTAATGGGTTGGAGGGTTTATGGTTTGAGGTTACTTCACTGCATTGTTGACCCAGTTAGTTACCAACAAACCAACACTAACGTAAATAGCAGCTTGCTCAACAGGACTAAAGTAAGTAAAACCTAGCAATACCAGGTAACTCAAAACCAGCCATACATATTTTACATGCTACTTTTCACGTGTTTCACATTTGTGAAATGACTGACTGAACCACTGTTGTTATGGTTAGCTGAAACGAATAAAATCGTTTTAATTAAATTAAAGCTGAAATAAAATAAAAATATAAATATTAGGTTAAAAACATGACAATGAAACTTAAGTAAAAAAATACTGACAAATACAAATACTGAATATTATTATATGGCTTCTTATCAAATAAGTTGATATGGACATGAAATTGATTTGAGTTTTACATTTATTTCATTAGTTCATTACATTTAGAAAACAACTGTCCTTGCAACAAGACAAACACTAGAACAATACAGTATTTCTTAATATGTTATGATTAATCTGCAATTCAATTTATTATTACAGACTAGTTAGGTAGCATATTTAGCTAAAATGTAACATGTCTTCTTATTTTTAATTTCTCTCTGGGGACCACAAACTTCTAGCTATCAATGAAAGGTTGTATCTTACCAATCAGAATCAAGACAATATGTAATAATCATTCTAGAAGAACTATTAGCTGTGTGAAAGATTATTTTAAAAACTATAAAATACCTCGGAATTTTTTGGGAGGGTTGTCTAGATCTCCACCTGCTGGCTCCACAACACAACGGTCATCCACCAGCCTGGAAAGGTAAACACACAGAGTCATCTCAATGAAAACAATTCTACAAACGCCTTCGAGAGGCACATCAGTATCCGTGGTCATAAAGAATTATGGGTAATGAACTCTAAAAGAGCTTCAGTCCTGGCCTGGAACAGGAATTTCTTCATTTCTACAGACTTCTGGTGGACATCCTGCTAAATCATTTAAAAAATAAGCTCCAAATGCTTTGCCAAAGTGCCTTTAAGGTCTAATTATGTTATGTTATATATGCAGTCCTATTCGATAATGCCCCAAGGATAGCCTGCAACTAACTACAGCAGCCTTTGAGGGTTTCTGGGAAACAGGTTAAAACATGTTTATAGGTTGCCACGCCAGTTCAATAAGACACTTGTGAACCTGAATGGCTGAAATAGCCCAAGGGAAAACCCTGGACACTTCTGAATGCTGTTTCAGAAAGCCATTCCTGTATAACATTTGCTTTTTAAGATGACCGTCTCCATCTTTTTGTTCTTGCATCTGGCCTGAATCCAAAACAGAGGTGCTATTTCATCCTGACGTTAAAACAACAGTAAACTTTGGGCTGAGAAGTTCATGCAGTGAGAATAATACTAAAAAGATCTCTCCCTTTCAATGACCAAAAGGCTTCATTGTAAATGTAAATTCAAGATTGTGCTTTCATTTAGGAAAACGGACATCAAATGAAGCCATTTGAATGGATATTTTAGCAAGTTCTAGTCAACCACCTCTGTAAAAAATACCCAAAGAGTTTATGAGATGTCCTGAGTGATTCTAGGTTGTTAACTGCACTGTAACTTAACTGCACACCTGTGTGCAGCTCTCCATCTTTTTGCAAACCAAAAACTCAAACACATCAAAGCTCAGAGTAAAAGTAAGCCACAGTACAACCAACTAGCAAAGAAAAAGAACAGCTCGAGTTCTCAAGACTACAATGCCAATCATTTTATTTAATAATAAACTGAACTGATCAGACATGAAATGTCACATTGATGGCTATGATTTACTGCTTTTTAAATAAACATAAAAGCTGTATTTTGTGCAGGGTCTTGTGCTGAGGTGAAGAAAGGCAGGAAGACAGAGAAGTCAATGAAAGACTCTTACCCCAGTGTGCTTATAAAACCATTGACAGTTCCTTCTGCATACAGGGAGACAATATCCCCTACATGCAGAAAACTGGACGCTGAATCAGACATCTTTGCTATTTACAGCACGCAGCAATCTGGATGTTTCAGTCTGATCTTGAAAAGCCCGGACACTTTTCTTACAAACTCTTCCTGATAAATAAAGCGGGTGTAGGCACGCGCTTCACCCACAGTTGAAGTATAAATGCATCCCGGTAGAGCTGGAAAAAATGCAAAGGAAAGAAAACCTGCAAAAGTTAATCCCTGCTTGGATGTGCAGCTGGGAATGTAAAGCGCAGTGGTCCGAGAAGCAGAAGTGACTCGTTGTTGGAGTTTTGCGGCGTACCTGAGGTCATAGTGCTTCAAACCAGGAAGCACGCGTAACTTTGTCAAGTCAAAACACGCCTGTAGGGGAGGCACCGCGTGGAAGAATACAGAGGAGACTCGCTAACACCCTCTCCACACTGCAACCGAGATCCCTGACAGAAAGAGAAAGCTAAAACAAAACAGACAGCTTTGTTTATTAGATTATGAGCTATTTGGCGCGTCGCGACCCTCGCTTACTCTGTGGTTTCTAGGATAAATAAATACAAATACATTGTTTATGACCTATCATTTTTAAGTTTAAATAAATAGATATTTTTGTAACTGTAGCTGTTTTCTCAGCGCAATATAACAACATATTAAAAAGTTAACGATTTTTTTTTTAACTACCTGTACTGTTTTATTAAAGTGCCCCTATTATGGGTATGAAGTAGGGCTGCACGATTAATCGCATGCGATATTTAACGCGCATCTTATCAGTAAAGCCGGTTCTGTAATCAGCGGTAAATCTCCATCACCTTCGGACTTTCACATTGAGCAGCATTAACTACGCAGAGCCGTTGTTCACTGACGAGCTGCGCTAAACCACGTTCATATTCGCGCGATTTTTTGCGCAGCTCATCAGTGAACAACGGCTCTGCGTAGTTAATGCTGCTCAATGTGAAAGCACACAGGTGATGGAGATTTACCGCTGATTACAGAACCGGCTTTCTGACAAGATGCGCGTTAAATATCGCATGCGATTAATCGTGCAGCCCTAGTATGAAGGTTCATATTTTGGTTTTGGGAGACCCCAACAACAGGTTGACATGCATGCAAGGTCAAAAAAACACTTTCATTGTCTTATAATATGCCTTTATTTTTACCTTATTTGCTCAACGACTCCCACACGATTCTTTTAACGATTCATTTTTCCAAACCCCTCCTTTGCTTGACGCTAATCTGCTGTGATTGGTCCGATTGGTCTCATTTTCATTTCATCATGCCTGTAATGCCTGATAACGCAGCGTTTGTGAGCGCAGTGCTGCTCAGTGTTGCCAACTGCTTTCAATTGAAAGTAGCTAAAACTGGTTGCTAATGTCACTAGATGACATCACAATGGCAAATTTACTGATCTATATAAAGATTAATGTAGATCAGTGGGCAAGATGAGAACTTAGATAAGGTTTGTCCAAGGAGTTGCTATATTTGTCCCTAAACTTTTGAAAAAAGTCTCAAAAGGGGCGGGGAAGTCGCTAAATCTAGCTACAAAGTAGCTAAATTGGCAACACTGGTGCTGCTTTGTGTACAATGTTACCAGGGAAACCGCCATTTTTACCGCTCCAGAAGCGACACCTAGTGGCAAAGAATTAATTTGCATTTTCATGCAGTCCAAGGAGAAAAGACCAAGTGGGCGGGCAATATGCTAATGTTTCATGTTAAAAACGACTCGTTTCAATGATTCAGAGTCGGCTCTTTCTTTTGAGAGACAATAACTTTATACACCGTGCACTTTCAGATTTAAAGGGGTCATGATGCTATTTCAATTTTTCCTTTCTCTTTGGAGTGTTACAAGCTCTTGGTGCATAAAGAAGATCTGTAAAGTTGCA